GGCATTTTGTCTGGGAAATATTTGATTGGGGGAATAACTCCTAAAACCTTTTTAAAACGAAAAATGAAAAAACAAAAAAGACCTGTTCTATTCTCAATATTATTCCATCAACAGTTCAGTTCTGTTACAACAGATTTTCCAAAACTATTGAATTATTGCTCAATGAGTCAAAAGAGATTGATAATATTTTCTCGACAATTCCATGGATTCATGGGAAGAATAAATAGGAGAATAGTCGAGATGAATCGCCGCCCTCGAACGATTGTACAAAAAAACAGATCCCAAGTATGAAATCAAGCTAGTAGGCGATATTGGCAATTTCCCGATGAACTTATTGCTGACATTCATAATGAATTCAATAAATAGAGCGATTGTGTAAGAAATGGGGAGAGGAATCCACCAAGACGATCGTTTGATGTAGTTGTCACTTTTTGTAGTGATCCTCTCACAAAATCTGCCAATATCATTCACATCGTTGTCATCAGTTATTATGACTGGAAGACCTGCGATTGAGTCAGGCCGGTCACGAAGGGTATTTTTAGCACAAATAAAACCCCATGCTGCATTACCTGAAATAGTAAAAAAAAACAAAATTCAGAATTTCATAAATAATATAGTGTGATCGTATTCTTACCCACGTAAGTCATCTGCTGCTTGCCACCTTTTCCACCTATCCTAGGCAAAATATTTCCTCGAGATTTCCCATACTTAAGGATTCTGGAAATAAATGTTGTATCTCCATCTCCATAGAGTATTGTTGGTCTGATAGAGACTGTTTTTAATTTTTCTGTTCCTGAGAAAGAAAAAAAAGAAGTGATAATAAATAGAAAATGTCAAATGCAAAAATAACTAATCATTTTTGCAATTCCGTCAAGTAACATCAGAAGTATTGCTCTACTCGATTGAAGATTTGTACCATTAGAAAGAAATTGTCCATTGGCTTTGAGCACTATCTTTTCGGCTCTCAATTTCGATATAGCATACGCCCCCATCATCAACCTACGCTCATCCTCTGGTACTCCAACTTTAGATTCCTGTTGATAAATTACAATCGCAATCATCCCATATTTAACATACGATGTCAGTGTAACTTCTGTGGTACTGCAGTAGATTAATCGCTGTACATTTTGTTCAATACACAGATGTATCACGTTTTCTGTAGCTGAAAACAAATCACGGATTGAATTAAAGAAGTAATACAGATGAACAGCAATTATTTAAAAAACAAGGATTGCCTACCGTCTACATTATTTTTTTGCAATTCCTCATAATTCGGAGGAAAATCATAAGATACTAATGCAGCACAATGAATCACAATATCAGTATTGAGAAAAACACTGCGACATTCTTCCACATCCAATAAATTATTGATAAAGAAATTAATCTTCGAACAATAATCATCTCCGCAGGATCCAACAATTGAATAATCGTCGAGGGGGACCTTATCCAATGCACGAATTTCTGACACTGTTGCATCTCTCTGCAATTGCTTCAATATGTGTTGCCCCAGAAAACCGCTAGCACCTATCAAATAATTTGTGGAAAAACATCGAACATTTTTTATAATAATGCTATATATCATTGCAATTCTCTCGTCAAATTAAATTATTTACCTGTCACTAATACAACGTCACCTTTTTTACACGCCATTAGAGCCACATAGCTATTAATTTTTTGCTGATTCGACACTTGAGAAATTTTGACATTGGCAACATCGCTATATGAACAGGGCAATAACGGAAGACCTTTGATTATGAAAATTACATCAACTTTATTATTCCCTTATCGTAGACAGAATGATCATGCCAAAAGACTAATAATTGCGTTCTTTCAGTGACAAAATGTCGTATTAAAATCAGTAACTTATTCAGAAATTGGTTCCTATGGATTACAATGTTCCCCTAATGCTCAGCATTACAACAGTGGACAGGGATCAGTGTAAAGAAATTTATTTACTTAACCATTATGGAAAATCAACGATTTTTCAGTATTAAAAACAAATCAGCCAAATTTCACATTGTGTTTTCTTTTTTTCCATTTCCGTTTCAATCCATTACAGTTTGTTCAGTTCGATATTATTGAATTTACGGGACATTACGTGCAATTTCAATTTTTGACGAACGTTAATTTCGTATTATGCAACACTTATTCCAGCAGTTTGTAAGTAAGTTCTCAGATGATTGGCATTAGGCTCTGGAATTTGTCCAAGGAGATTTGGAAGCTGTCCGGGGGATAGTCGACCGAGTCCTTGTGCCAAGTGCAATCGGACATCACCAATAGCTACAAAAGAAAAATAATAAAATAGGTAATTAATATGAGTCAATTTTGAAACGTGCATCATATGAGAAAACTCTCTTTACCCTCCAGGGGATCTTTCCTCGGATTCCTGGCACAAATCAGCTGACTGTAGGCCGCTTGGTAACCAGGGTTATCCTCAGTCTCCGGCATTAGCAAATCCTCAGGTATAATACTCTCATCCTGTGGAAGTTCAAAGAACTCCACTAAAGTAGCCAAAAGTTTTGGATAAAAAACATGATACGGATTCTCAACCATGGCTGGACAATCGACAAGTAGATTGGACATCCCCACAGCTGCAACTTTCCTCTCAATTTCCCCAGAAACTTTCTGCAAGTCAGCAATGATAACCCTCTCCAAAACCATGCCAAACATTTGGACTTGAATTTGATCGATAATCGTGATGAGAGTCGAAGCTCCATACCTGATAATATAATAGGCAAAGAAGACAATAAGTCCCTTTACAAATTTGGTAGTCTTAGTGGAAGAGAGCCTTTGAAATAGCAGCACAAATATTTGTTTCATGAATGGCTCCAGGATATTAGGAGGAAAATGTTCAATAATTGATTGCATAAGTGAAAAGCCTTCATGATCGTTCGCTTTGGAAGCAATAAGCTTCTGGAAAACCCCTAGTAGTCCGCTAATCTTATCCTGGGCAATAATCTGATGTGCTCCATGACTGACAAATGCTTGAAGAAGTCGATTGAGAGGATGAATGTTTCCCTGCCTCTCGAATAAAACTGGAGCCAGGAGACAAGGAAAGAGGGCCATGTAGGGTTCAGGTACCTCCTGCGAAGTGCGAAGTTCCAGCAACAGTGCCAAAATTTGGAAAACATACGGCATGAACTCTTGAACGTCTTGCTGAAGAATTCCCTGGAAAATTGGAAAAAGCACCTGCTCGAAGGAAACAACCGCTTCAGGATTGGTCTTGCAGACAATTCTGATGGAGAGACCGAGGGTCTCGAAGAGGTAGTGATTAAAATTGGGTCTGCTGGGGTTCCTGGCGACGATTGATAGTTTCTCCGTGAGTTTCGGTAGAAGATCTCCCAAGAAAGGTACAACATTCTCTTTGAGAGTTCCAAAGCTCCTCATTATAGCTTTCATCGCGTACTCGTTCTCTCCTGATCCTGAGAGTTCCAAGAGAGCGAAGAGGCCTTTCAGGAGATCAGCAGCGAGTGGAGCAATCTCTTCACCTTTCACCAGTGCAACGTTATTAGGACCTTTCAGCGCCAGGATCTTTTCGATAGCGCAGGCTGCGTAACTGTGGACCACTTGACTTGAGGCTGTTAAGTGTCTGATCATGTAAGGCAGACTTCCCACAACTAGCTCTCGTGGGAGAATCGATCTGAAAGTCATGATGAATTTTATGGCATCGGCTTTTAAAACTGGAAACTCATTTATATTCGGTCTCGCCAGCTCTGGCTGTATGTGCTGGGAAGCGAACTGAGGTAAGGGCACGAATTCATTGCTCTGAGTCACTCCATGCTTCTGTGTTTGTCCTTTACTTGCACTCGATGTTACTAGATAAATTACTGCGTCTTTCTTGCGCCAGTTTTCTGCAGGTTTCGCTGCGTATTCTGCTAGACGTTCCTAGATTTGAATTCGGTAATTCATTACTTTATTCAATCGCTGAATTGTTCATGAGAAAAACTTATAGAAAGCGTAACTGACTCATGTGTGAATCGAGATATAATATTAATAATATTGTATGTAAGAAAAAACTTTATTATATAAAGAAACAATAAGCTTTCCATTGTGCATGTACTTTGAGAGGCTTGAAATTTCGAGAAAGAATTACAAAGTGTATTGTTAAGATCATTGCTATTCTATGTTCAACCGTTATCGTTATATTGAAATATTTTGTATGCATTTGTGAGAATTCTAGATGTGAGAGTTTTCTAGTTTAAAAAATGCTAGGCGCGAGTAATTTTTAAGAAAATGGTTTTTCGTATAACGAGAAGAGAGAGTACTTACCATGATAAAAGCCCCAAAAATCTCCATAACCTTAGCCCCAAAATATTTAGCCAGAACCTTGACAAGGTCACAAGCAGCTCTGCGTCTAGTGTCAACATCGCTGCCTTCAATATCTCTTCTAATATATTCCTCTGGATTATCCTCAAACAATTCATTATCAGACTCTCTAAACTCGATATTAGGTGTAATGAGATTCGTGCAGATATTTCTGAGGTTCTGTGGCTCCTCAAACAGCGGCCTGTACTGATCTCTGTCAGCAACAGTTACCAAAAATTGGAGTGAGTTGGACACAAGCGCATCGTACTTTGGTTGCTGACCTGTGCAATTCAAAAGCCCCCAAATAGCCTCGAGAAATTTAGGCACATAATTTTGGAACTCCTCGTCATACTTCTGAGCATAGAGAACGATATTGTCGCAGACCTGTGATTTCAACTGTTCGATGACACCAGCCTCTTCATCGTCATCAGTTTTGAGGAGAGGTACATCAGTTGTTAACAGAGTGTGGAAATTCACCATCCAAATTTCCATATTATCCTCAAAAAATTCTGGCAAATCTTGAAAATTCAATGAGTAAAATACTTTGCTCAGAATTGTCAGGGAGTTGTAAATTACTTTGAGAGCTTCAACATTATTAGCATGAGCCTGAGTAAGATTCATCGTTGCCAAGAAGAGATCGGTCAACGGTTTGGCAAATTTCTCGAGGACAAATTTGATCTCCTCCCAGAGAGTCTGACTCTTGAATTCGTAACGATAACGTTTGAAGAGAGAATGGGCTGTGTGAAGAACTCCGTTGATAATATGGAAGTCCCCTGTGTTGAATTTTTCCACCATCTGATCGATGAGGTCTGGCCATTTGTTTGGAAAATCATGACGACCGATTATTGATACTGCGTCAGAAAGTTGCTTTTGAATCGAATCTGGCGAATGCAGCATCAAGTTTACAATTAACTTTTTTATTGCTTCACGATCTTGGCCGTGAATTTTATCCACTCCATCTTCATCCTAGGTAAAGGACGGCAATAATTATTACCAAATATAATGAACAATTGATTAATTACAGAAATTGGAAAAATGGATGTGTCAATTTGTCATCATATCGTCTACAAACTTACGAGAACAAATGCGGTCAAGAGAGAAAAGGAATTAAATATTTCTATAGCGACCCAGAAATAATAGAAAGTACAAATAATTGAAGAAAAACTGATGGTCTTGATTCCCGTATGAATTTGCAAAATTTTATGCTCGTGGAAATATTAACCTTTGAAAAGAGAAATGTATTCACACGTGGATCCATCTCAGTGGTTAATTTTAATACTCACAATTTTCCAATTTCGTTTGATGTAGTTTTTGAAGGCTACTGCACCAGCTATCCTAATTGTCAAGTCAACGTCCTGTTTCTCAACTAGATGCAATAATAAAACTGGATAATTCTGGTTTCCTTCGATTGATTCCAAGAATTTTTCGGCTGAAAACAATTATTCATTTGTTATTCATAAATTCTAGAGCCAGATAAATAACAAAACCCCTTCGACGTTGAGTGGCTGATAAACCTTAAGGAGTCACCAATAAAACAATACATACGTTTGAATTGATTTAAAATGAATCGTTAGAAAATAGTCAGAGGTTAAACGCTTACCGGGTCTTCTGACGTCTACATCTGGACTGAGTGTGCGATGCAAATAATCACTGAGTGTAATTAAATTGGCCCCCTCGAGCTCCATAATGCCAATAATTATTTTCAAGTACTCAGTGATTGGTAAAATAAACTTTCTCCAAGATCAGAAGTAAAGATAATCACAAACAAAGAACCAAATACAGCCAGCATTTACCACCGGCTTTGTCCAATTTCAATTTCCTAACCTTTTTGGCTTTTCAATGAAATTGGCACTCAAAGAGGATTGACTAAAGTAGAGGCTCAGTTCTGGGGGTTTGAGTGACTCCAGAAGCATCGTAGTACTGCACCCCAAAAGAGGGAGGGCACCACACGCAATGAGGGTGTCTGTCCGTAAGCCGACTCGGTAACTGCCTCGGTAGCAATCCCGCTGTCAGAGGGACCAGTCAACGAGGTGAATGTTATTTTCTGCGTTACGAAATTGGTATTCACTGAAATTTAAAAATTGTATGGAATCACTTAAATTTTTTGCGCCCACGTGACCCTTAAATAAGTCCAATTAACCTTTAACCAAATCCAATCAAC